AGCTGGCAATGTTTGTGAGAGGCAACTCATCAAAAGGGTAAACTGTTCTCCTTCACTTTGTTATGACAAGTTGGCAGCATGTCTGCCTTTGCAGGTCGGGGTGTCTGTGTGATTCCATGCCTTTGTTGTGGCAGGGCGGCTAGAGTAGAATTACACAAAGGAAGGGGGGGGGAGTTTTAGAAAGTTCTGGTGTGCAGGGTGGTGAGGACGAACTAGAAACGGGGAAAGGACTGATTGCTTTCTGGCTCACTCAGGAAAGCTGAAAGAGCGGAGGGCCCAGAAGAGGGTGCCACAGTCTAATATGCGCCGCAACATCACTGCTGCTAGTATATAAAGTAAGATCACCCTATAAGGCAATTGTTTGATAGACTCCACGACACTCACTTCCCTGCTTCTTCTCTCACAGCCCTCGGAACGGCGCACTCCGGAGGGAAGACGGAGTCTAGTAACTGAGTGTTAATTATGTCTGAGTTGATTCAAGAGGAAAAAAGAAAACCATACACTGTATCAGCAGAGAAATTGTTTCGCTGTGAGGAAACTAATGATGCTTTTATCAGGAACAATATAAAGATTGCTTTCCTTTCTTTCTTTCTTTTTTTTTCACTAGTGTATGTCCCACAGGGTTTGGGCTATGAGATATTTCTGTATCGGGCTTGAGGTTCCTCTTGAGCTTTTACATAATCAAATCAATACAGCTATGATTCACCCTCTGGCAAAAACTGCTCCTTGCAAGTTGCTGCTGCTTCTTTAGTGACTGGAGAGGAAATAAATAAATAAGGAGGAAAGAAACTTATTACAAATCTGTAAACATTGATTTGTTTGGGCTTAGATTTGTACTTTCTTTAATTGTCAGGGAGTGGAAAAGCTGGGTAGTGGGGGGAGAGAGGCTGAAGAGGGGAAGAGGATATATGAGGCCACGGTCACTGGTCAAAGGATGTGATTGGATATGAAGTAGATTGTGGGGGAGGGGTTAGGATTTGATGGAGTGGCATAAAGCAACCTGATGTATTGTCCAGACATGTCAACGACAAGGACAAGAGCACTGAAGTCGTAGAAGAGGACTACTCCCTCTCCTTGCTCATAAACATCCAGTGTTCTTTCAGTCCAGAGTTCAAGACTGTCAGAAAGCACTGGGTGTAAGGGGAATGTTAAAGCCCAGATTCTTCCCCAAGCCCAAAAACAAGGACCAATCTGTGGCTCTTTTCCTCTTTTGGTTCTCTTGTCTCTGCCATCTTCCCGTTTCCTTGCTCTGTTTCCTTCCATCTCTTTAATTAGATTTACATTAAAGTTTCCAAAAGGTGTGACAGTCTCTTTTTGGTTATATGGTTTTGTCTAATGCCCCGGGACAGCACCATGATGCTCAAATGGAGATTAGCAACCATAATCCAGAGTCATCTTCTGCACTGGTGCAGTTCTTTTCGACACAGCGCAACTTGGCAGGACAAAGAACAAGCCTGCTTTTCCTTTATTTGCCAGCTTAGGCCAATGGCTTGCTGGCTTCCCTTGAAAAGGGGAGTCACTGTGTAGTTTCTGCTGTCGGCGCTTTCTGTAGAGTTTCAGTATCAGAAGAGTAAATGAGGAATGTTCTAAGGATGGTGAAAGTAGCTGAGAGCAGAAAATAGCCAGTTACACCAAGGTGCACATTGAGGCTGCTTCAAGTCTTCTATCAGCACCTCACACAATGCACAAGAACAACCTGGCACAAATGGTTTTCCTGCTGCAAATATACTGCTGCTTTCAGGAATACTTTTATTTAGCGCTGATCTAGGAGTGTAGCATGCACTGATAAACCACAGCTGTTTAAGATTATTGGATCAGTGGGTATGCCAATACTTCCTGCCTCAAAGTGGGAGTTACACTGTTTCCTGCCCAAAAGATCACAACACCCTTCTCTTGGCAATCCTCTCCTTTCCATTCTTCTCCAGTCAGGCTGTGTCTTATTCCTTTATTTCCATTTCTATATCTGTGGCCTGCTGTTTTTCTATGCTCATTGCCCTCAGCTGATTAATTGTTGAGAACTGATTTTTTTTTTATCCATGCATGGACAATATGCAGATGCACAATAGGTTTCTTTAAAAAGAGGAGGTGGAAAACAATTAAATAATCATCCCATGTACACCAGTAACCCAGAATGGATAGAATTAGCAAGGATATCACTCAGCAATCACCAGCCAGTCACTACCACTATGACCAGAATTCAGAGGAGTTTTGGATGTGGATCTTTGATGTAGATCAGCCGCTTGTCATTCACATTATCACCTTGGGAAAATGTGAGGTTACCTTGTAATGGGTGCTTAGTGTTGCCATTGCAAAAGCAACATAGGTGGAACTGCATGTGGATTAATCCCAAGTGTACATCTGGCTGATGTCTTGATTCAAGCATTGTGTTCCTCAGGGACAACTTTCTGCAAGGATCTGTCTAATCTGCCTGTCCCCAGTCTGATTGTTTGGTGGGAAGGACAGAACCTGGATGCCCACAAGATGGAAGACAGCTTCCACTGAAAAAGGTATTAGTACCACCAGCCCCATCTTACCTCCTCTTTCTCTGTTTTTTTTTTCTCTCTCTCTCCTGGTCTTCTTTCTCCTTAATCTCCCAACAATCTCAAATCAGTCTGTTATCTTTCACGTTGTTCCCCACCCCCCATGATTTCTCTAGAATCTTCCCAGTATGTCCCCAGCCACCTCACCCCACCCTACCCAGCCACCTTCAGCCTCTTTACTTCAACCCCATTTCTATAGCTGCTGGTACAGAAACTGAAGTTTTATACCAAGCTCTGTATAAATTACATCTCTAAGGATGTTTTTGTCTTATTTTCCCCTGAGGCGACACCTCTGTCATACTTGAAGAGAGAGAGAGAGAGAGAGCAAAACAATCAGTTTTTAATTTGGAAGGAAGATCTATTTCCACCCACCTCAAAGATTTTTTTTCTTTTGTGAGATTCACATTTTCCTATCTACAAGGAAATTTGGACTGGTTGTAACTGCTGGGGCAGAAGGGGGTATTAGCCATAGCTTTACATGACAGCATAATATACCTATTAATGCCTAGTGCTTAAATTTGCCCAGATGTAAACTGGGATTAATAATCTTTACCTCCTGTGAGTGAATACAGTGAGGCTTAATTAATGTTTGCAAAGCATGTGGAGCTCCTTTGATGGAAGGTGCTTAAAAACTGCTAAGTAAGTACAATAATCCCTGAGGCTTTATGATTATAAAAGATATAGGAAAAGAGTAGCTTGACATCATTTTCTGCCTTCTCTTTTATCCATCTGAAATGTGCTGGGATATGTGTGTACATGATTTCCTTTCCAGTGATTCATAGTGAAGGAGCTGATGGCATTCCACTGTTTTGCACACATACCAAAAAGTCTCCATGCACTCCCAGCCACAATCATCCCAGGCATAAAATGGAGTTTAATAAAGAGATCAATCTATTTCCATATGAATGATGCTATAAACAGTGATATAAATACAAACACTGTAGGTTTTATTTCAATAGGGGGATCAGGCCCAGAACAGACTTCTAAGAGAATTCTCCCTGGCTGGAAGAGCAAGGGCATCAATTTTCCTTTGCCATTTCTTTCTCCTTCTACAGTCCATAATACCACCACCACCCCAATTCTGAGGAGTCCCATAGTCTTCTAGAGCAGTGGTTCCCATCTTTGTGTCCCCAGATGTTCTTGGATTGCAACTCCCAGAAATCCTGGCCAGCACAGCTAGAGCTGAAGGCTTCTGGAAGTTTTAGTCCAAGAACATCTTATTTGAGAACTACTGTTCTAGAGCAAATTGCAGAATGGGGCTAGGAAATGATGGTGCAGCAGCAGGGGAGAATCAATTAGTATCACCTGATCGCCTTTCACCTTCAATTAAAAAATTGATTTGCAGGATCAAATTTTTAAAAGGCAAGTTTGGATATTTGATAATCCAAGTTAAAACATCATCTATCTTGGATAGTTAAATATCAAAAAGTCACTGATTCTCAGATTCAGTTCAGGGCCATAATTGATAGATACATGACACCCTCATACGATGCCTTTGAGAGGTTTGGGCTCGGAGGGAGTTGCAGTGAATCCCAATCAACTCAGTAACAGACAATTGTTTCCCTCTCTATCTCAGAGTTCTTTTTCCTGCCTTTTTCCAGTCAGGAGGATTCTGTCAGTTACTATTGTGCAACCCATAACAAAACTGGTGCCTAACAAGTTAGCAACAATTTATCATTGTGAGCTACTCAGTTTCATTTATGCCTATTAAACCAACAACAGTATTACTGTATAGCCAATGAATTCAATGTGTAAAAAAAAACCAAAACAAAAAAACGAAGATCTGTTGCTTAGCATAGTAAGTTGCACTATAGTAGGCCCACTGAATCAGTGGGGCTTTGGTAAGTTGACTTCTTCATAAGTCTCATTGATTGAAATGGGCCTACTCTGGTTGCCCACTTGAATCAACAGACATTACAGAAGAGATGACTCACCAAATCCCTACTGATTCTTTGGCTATTCTTGTTTTGTTTTTATTAATTTTCATAGGTATCAGGATTATGGTACAAATAGGGGGAACAGGTAAAAGAGGGGGGAAGGGTAGAAAAGGCTAAATCGAAAAGTATTCTTATGTCCACTTATACTATATTTTAAAAAAGGGAATTATACAAAGAAAAAAAATTATAAGAGTTTTCCAAGATATCCACAATTACTAATCTTCCATTTTCTTGGACCATCTCTTTCTTTTCATCTTTAGACTTACTAATTTTATAGGTTTGATATTATTCTGCCAAGTTTATTTCTATTGTTCTAAATCAGTGTTATAACCATTCGTTTGTGTCTATTTTATCATATATTCTTTCACCACAAAATACCCTCTTAAATTTAATGTTTCCATCTTTTGATCATCTATAGCATATCTTTATATCTGCTTCCCTACATCAGTATTCTTCATCTTCCATCTTATTGACCATTTATTTAGATCTGTTCCCAAGATCTTCATCAACTTTCTTTGTCCCATCTGCCACCACAGTAGGACTGTAGTATTTGTGGGGATCACTTCCAAACTTTTCATTTGCTGCACTTCCATTGCACTTTATGCACCAACCACCAATGCTGAAGAGGCTGAAATTCACCAATTCTATGAAGACTTACAACACCTTCTAGAACTGACACCAAAGAAGGATGTTCTTGTCATTATAGGGGACTGGAATGGGAAAGTAGGGAGTCAAATGATAAAAGGAACAACAGGTAAGTTTGGCCTTGGAGTTCAAAATGAAGCAGGACAAAGGCTAATAGAGTTTTGTCAAGAGAATAAGCTGGTAATCACAAACACTCTTTTCCAACAACACAAGAGGCAACTCTACGCATGGACATCACCAGATGGGCAGTACTGAAATCAGATTGATTATGTTCTTTGCAGGCAAAGATGGAGAAGCTCTATACAGTCAGCAAAAACAAGACCTGGAGCTGATTGTGGCTCTGATCATCAGCTTCTTATAGCAAAATTCAAGTTTAAATTGAAGAAAGTAGTAGAAACCACTGGCTAGTCAGGTATAATCTAAACCAAATCCCTTATGAATACACAGAACAGATTTGAGGAACTCGATTTGGTGGACAGAGTGCCTGAAGAACTATGAATTTAGGCTTGTAACATTGTACAGGAGGCAGCAACAAACCATCCCAAAGGAAAGCAAATGCAAGAAAGCAAAGTGGCTGTCCAATGAGGCCTTACAAATAGCAGAGAAAAGGAGAGAAACAAAATGCAAGGAGAACAAACCTATCCATTTTGAAGGAAATCCACCCTGAGTGCTCATTGGAAGGGCAGATCCTGAAACTGAGGCTCCAATACTTTGGCCATCTCATGAAAAGAGAAGACTCCCTGGAAAAGACCCTGATGTTAGGAAAGTGTGAAGGCAAGAGGAGAAGGGGACGACAGAAGATGAGATGGTTGGACAGTTTCATCGAAGCTACCAACATGAATTTGACCCAACTCCGGGAGGCAGTGGAAGACAGGAGGGCCTGGCATGCTCTGATCCATGGGGTCATGAAGAGTTGGACATGACTTAATGACTAAACAACAACAACAATGTCTGGTCAAACCTGCACTTATTGCCACGTTTTGACAGCTTCAGGCCAAGCCACCACTAGCTTAGGCCTTTATGGTTAAGTGCCCCATGGGACAACTGATCCTTGTTAATCGCTATATCCCTCCCGCCCTAATCAGTTCTTCATTATTCACCACATGGTCAGATCTGAAGAATTATATTGATTCTGTAATCGCGGACCACCCACTTGTTTTAGCAGGTGACTTTAATGCCAGATTGGGTTCCAGCAATGATGCTTTATCTGATCATATGATGTGGGGCACTGACGATTTAATACCACCTCCCTTTTTAGACTCTAGGGCATCTAACAATCCAATAATCAATCAGGTAGCGCATCTTATGGCCGACCTCTGTTGTAGTTATTTGAGAATTCTCAACGGCTCTGGAATTAGCACTTACGCTGGTGAACTGACCTTTCTATCATCCTGAGTTATGAGTGTGGTAGTACATTTTAATCTCCCGAGTTGCTTTCCAAACTTATGAACTTTACGATTGGCTCTCCTTACAAAAATGACCATCAACCTGTTCTTCTATCCTTATTTTGGGAGTTACCCCGCTTAACTAATACTATTATCCTCCTACCTTTTATCATCATAAAATAATCTGGTCAAATAACACTAGGGACTTATATGACCAGTGGACCAAGTCTGCTGAAGTCAGATGTCTCTCACTGACAATTTCTCAAACTAGTTCTCCCTTTGTTGCTATCCAGTCATACCAAGCAATGATAAATTCCCTGGGCAGTCTTCAAAACCCTAAGCGCTTAGTGGATAACCATAATACTTCTTATAATTAGTTTGATGCAGAATGCTGGACTGCCAAAAAACTTTGTTTAATGTTTCGCTGCCTATGTGCTCGGGGCTCCTCTGATCTAGCTGCACTGTACTTTGAGGCAAAAAAGAACTATCAATCTCTCCTGGATGGGAAAAGACACACTTGTGCCCTAAGACAATAGGCCAGACTGATTCATGCTTTCCATACCAGGAATACAAAAGAATTCTGGGCATTGATATCTCTTACAACTCCCTCCTCAACCAATGTCATACAATCCCCTGTCTCTCCCACTGAGTGGACCGATTATTATTCAGACCTACTTACAGATCCCAATTCACTGGCAACTCAACTCATTGGGCAAATTTCTCCTGATGTTCCTCCCTGGTTCCCAGTCTCTGAACAGAAGACCCTAGAACTTATTGCCTCCCTAAAATCAGGGAAGGCTCCAGGACCAGATGGGATCCCGACTGATCTAATAAAGAACAACTTGCACTGGTGGGCGGAATCTTTGGTCCATCTTTTTACTCTAATTGCCACTCTAATTGCCCACTTTGGTATTCTTCCTGATTCCTGGTTAATATCTATCATTATTCCAGTGGGAGGGGAGAGAAGGGCGGGATGGAGATCTTGTTGACTCCTGTGGGT